ATCTTTCTTCAATATTTTTCTCTGATATTATCCTGTACTAGTCACTGTCTTTTTTTCTAATTCTTTGTATCACTTCATTTCTGCCAAATTCACAGTCAAAGTCCATTTCAATCCACAAATTTCCTTACTTAAAAACTTCTCTAATGTCCTTAATATGTTCATTATTTTTTAATCACCAGCTAATAAACTTCATACACTCTTCTTTTGAACCTCCAGGTACATTGTGTACAAGGATGTTGGCTAATAGACTGTTGTCTTTGTTGCAGTTTCTTTTGCTTGATGCCTACATACTTTTCTCTAAAGGGATTTCTACTAAATCTATTTCTCTTTCAACTTCTTGTTTTCTTCTTTTTCCTTTTTCTTTTTCTTCTATTGTTGAACCTTGTCTTGATTCTTTACTATCCATTTCTATGTCTTCTTGTCTGGTCTCTTTTGTTTGTTCTTTTCTAGTTTCAGTTCTCTGTACCAATAATTTCTCTTCTATTCTATTTATGCTTTCTGTATTTACCTCTGTTCTTGCTTCTTTTGTTGTCCCGAGGTTCTCATCTAATAGTCTTCTCTTGTTCATATCTTCTTTTTCTGTCTTTTTTTCAATTTTTTGGTTTTCTTCATATATATTTCCTTGTTCTTCCTTTTTCTTTATTGCTTCTTGTTGTGCTGATTTCTCTGTTTCTTGTTTGTCTTTTTCTTCAATCTCAATTATTATCATGTTTCTGTCTTGCTCTGTAAAGTCTAACTTCTTTTCTGGCTGTTCTTTTTCTGCTTTTTCGATCAATTCTCTTGTTACTCTTAATAATGCAACTTCTTCAGGTTTTTGCTCTATAAGCATCACAATGATTTTGTCTTCTCTGTCTGGCATTATATATGTTATACTTGACTGGTTGAAGAATATTTTATTGTGTATTCTATTTATTGCCTAGTATGCTCTTCTCATAAAAATTGTTGACAGACTTTCTTTATGCTCTTTTAATCTCATGTTGTACTTATGTCTATATATTTCTGATTGGTTCTGTAAATTTCCTATTTACTTTGTTTTTCTTATACAAACTTTGTATACTTGTTGCATAACTTGTCTATTTATTTTAGTTTGGTAGTTTGCACATGTTTGTTTTGTTTTTCTATTTCATGTTTTTGTATAATATAAACAGATCTACATACAAAGTCTGATAGCAATTTCTTACTATTGCTGTTTTCTGAGAAAATTTTCCAATTTTTTCTTTTTTTCTTTGTAGCTATACTATTATTTTTGCAACACACTTCTCTTCTATACTTCTTATTGCTTTCTATGTTGCTGTTTCTTTTTATTTAGTGCTACTTAAGGTGTTTCTTATTACCAATTTTGCAGAAATCTTCTTTTTTTCTTCTGGCTATTTTGTGTCTGAGTGATTCTTGAAGAGAGTTGATTTGCTAATGATAATCTTATAATCATGATTATGCTATTGTTATAAGTCAAATGGTTAGAGTACCTTGTAGACAATAGTTTCGTGATTATGTTTTTTCATATTTAGGCCTCTATATGTAGTATTTTTTTAAAAACTAGACCCTCATATGTAATTATTTTTAATTTGGGCCTATATTTGTAATTATTTTCACTTTCTGGGCCCTTATTTGTAATTTCTTCTACTAAATATTCTGATAATATTATTATTCAATTTCAAATATCTTATAATCTTCAATTTACTATTAAACAAGAATTTATTCAAATTAAATTAGTACTTAATACTTACTACTAACAACAAATTCAAAAAGAAATTTAACAAAATATTGAAGACCATAATCAATTCTTTTATTCATAACCAAAAAAATTTTTTAAACATATTCTTGAAAAATATAATAATATATATATTGACAGATTACTAAATTATAACATTTTATTAACTAATGAAAATCAAATCAAACAAGCTATTCACATTCATTTTTCTGAATACTTTAATGAAAAACTCCTTTAACAAATTCAACTCAATTCTGAATATTATAAACTTTATCAACCCAATCCTGAATTTGAAACATAATATCAGAACTTATTTAATAATATTTCTGATGATAAATGGCAAAATACTATTCAAAACCTTCTTTTTCAAAAAGCTGCTAGACCTCTTGAAACCAACTATGAACACATTAAATAGGTTGGCTTTTTTGGCCAAATCTCCCTCAAACTATTTATTAATAAATGCTTTCAACTTCAAAAAATTTCATCAGATTAGAAAACATCTAACATCTTTCTTATTTTAAAAAAATCTTCATAGGACTTTACACTTAATCAAGTTTACTCTATCTCAATTATAGAACCTATAAAAAAATGTTTTACAAAACTTTTTACACAAAGACTTGACAACATCATTAACACAAACAATCTTCTCTCTAATCTTAACTTTGCAGCTACCAAAAATTTATCAACACATATTCCAATTCAAATTCTTAACAATACTATTGAATATTATAAACATTTTAACAAAAAAGCATGAATAATGTTTCAAGACATGTCCAAAGCTTTTGATAAAATTAACAAATCTTGACTTCAAAATACTTGTAAAAGAATTAGTATTCCTTTACAAGAAATTCAACTTATTACTGAACTTCATACAAACTAACAAGCAAAAATTATTACTGCATATAGCCTTATATCATCTGTTTATATTAAATCAAGAATTAAACAAGATAAAACCTATTTATCTTTACTTTAGAAAATCTACTATAATTCTATTCTTACCTTCATTTACAACAAATATAACAACAATCTACTCAAAATCACTTTCTCTTCACCTCTTAATATCATTTTAAACATTCTATCATCTTCTATAACAATACCTTCTATGGCCTCTATGAACAACACTGTTTGGCACAATGAAAGTTCTGAATCTTTTCAAAATATTCTTAATAATACTCAAAAACTTTACAATCTAAATAATATTAATATTAATCTGACCAAGTCTAACCTCCTACATATCTCTCAAAACAAAAACAAACTAAATCTTACTACATCAAATTTTTATTACAATTATCAAAAAATACCTTTATGTAAGTCTCATAAAACTATATAATATTTTGGCATTTATTTTGATGAAAATGACTTAACTAAACCAACATATAAGATGCTTCAAAACAAAATCAAAAACTTTCTTGCTTTAATTAAATTCAAAAAACTCACATCTAAACAAATTTCTACTCTTTTTAATATAATACTACAACTATCTTTAGAATATTTATTACAAATTTTGTCAATTACAAAAACACAACAATAAAAACTCTTACATCTACTCTCTATTACAATAAAAAAAATACTTTATCTTGCAAAAAATATATCTAATATTTTTCTTACTAATTTATTATTATTTTAACTTCTAATTCTTCAACATCTAACTCAAAAAGTAGCAATATCTACAATGAAATATATTTTTTATACTACTTTTTTTCTCAAACATATTGGCATAAACAGAATTAAAAATTGGCTAACTAAAATATAGCAACTCTTCTTTCTTCCTAATACTGCTTCTATGTTTTCATTAAAAACAAAAAACTTTATATTCATCTTTCAACTTTTACTTTTAAATAACTCCAATATTTTTCTTTTACTTAATAACTTACTAAACTTACTACTACAGTCTAGTATTTTACCAAATTTGGAGATCGAATCTAGAATATTTCTCGAAATTTAATTGGTAGTCAATCATCCTTTCCTATGCAAAACCATGATTTTCGTTACCTTAAAAAAATTAACTGATTTATTTTTTAAAAAAAAGAACTGTAGATTATATTTTTTTGAAGTTTGTAGTTTTAAAATCCGCAAGCATCCCTGAAAGTTTATAAAGCATTTTTTTTTTCCACTTAAATTCTACATTCATTTAGCACTTAGACATGGTGAATTCAAGAACAGAAGCCAAGGATTTATCTTGCTTGTTCGGATTTCTTATTAAAGATTATCTAGAAAGTAAGTTAGCGAACTGCGAAACCCTTGAAAAGCAAAAGTGGTGAAATGCAAATGCTCTTTTAGTAGTGAATAAGGCGAAGTTTTGGTTAAGTATCTTTCAAAGTTGTCTCTATTACTTTTTTCTCTCAAAGATTACTCTGTATGTCAAAAACATTATAATAATATAATTGTTAAAAATTATTTTCTTGAGCAATTAGAAAAAATTGGTGATTCGGTTTTTTCAGTTCCAATGAAAAAAAATAAAAAAAAGAATGAAGAATCTAATAATAACATGAATTTTCATGATTTTGGAACTCAAGTATCATTACCAAACTCTGAATATGAAAGCCTTGTAAAAAAAATTAACAAATTAGAATGCCTTAATAAACAATTATTAATTGAAAATGATATGTTAAAAAAAAGATTAAATAATAAATTTGATAATCAAGAAGAACATATTAAAGCTGTTATTGAAATTGCCAAACAGAAGCGAAGTTCTTTATATGATGATGTTGTCAAATTGATAAAAAACCATGAATGATTTAATCTAGATAACCTTTTAAAATATTCTCCGTCCCAATGGCTTGCTATGTGTAACCTAGTTATAGTAAAATTTATACAAACTCTTACATACAATGAAAATGAAACCTATTATGAAGGCGAAAAACTTTTTAAATATGCTGTGGTAATTGATATAATATATGGAATAAGGCATCTAAAATATGTATCTGCAGCTAATTTAGCACTGTCAGCAATAAAATATTCTATGGCCAAATCTAAAACAATAATTGACATCGATAGTCATATTATGAATGCTAGTAGTTTTACTAAATTTATTAAATGGCAAGAAAATTTAGCAGATAATCCTGAACCATTTCCAAACAGTTTGGTGTTTATGGCATTCAATAATGAACAAAAAGGACAAAAAAACTATTTGGATCGTGGACATAATAAAGTAACTTTTCACATAGTTACTAGTTTTGTTTTATTTAATTTTAATTTTAATAATCAAATACAAAATTTTGAAAATCCTTGGTTAAATCAAAATCTTAATATGCTACAAATTGAGAAATTATTTTTTCTTACTTCAGAAATGCAAATATTACTTGATCATCAGCTTCATGATTATCTTTCGACCATTATACCTAAATTATGTAAAGAAAAAAATGAAAATATAAACATTATTGATAATTTAGTAATTAATCAAATTGCTAAAACAAGTAATCAAAAACAATGTCGTGAATGTGGTAGAAATGAAATTAAAAATTCTAAGCGTAAATGCCCTTATTGTTATGCAAAACTTCCTATGCTTGCTGAAACTCAACAAGAAAGCAAACTAGCTGTATCTGATAAAAAAGATAAAAAAGATTTAGCCAAGCCACTAATTTTTAAACTCTTTCAACCCAATACATCAGATAAAACTATAAATTTGATTAGCATTAGTACAACCCAAGAATTAGAGCCTTAGAGTAGTGTTAATAAGCCTGAAATTCTTGTACCTGATCCTTTACCAATTAATTCAAATTCTATTGATAATGTTCGTAAAGTCTTCGATCATATTCAAAAAATTAGTGGAATTAATAATGGTAGTCAAAAATAGATTGTAGTAGTTTGTGATGGAATTCCTTACCATTATGCCCAAAAATTCAAAAATGAATATCTGGGAATTATATTGTTGCCTGGTCTACTTCACGAGAAAATGACCATGTTAAAGGCTTTTGTAGACTTGAACTGGTATAATATTCGATTTCAATCTATAGTTAGCTACAAAAAAATGAAATATCTTTATACCAGCTTCATTAGTTTAATGAATTAGATGCAAATTATTTAATATATATTAGTGAAAAATATTGCCAATTCATTCAATAATTTAATTATTAAATTACTGACCCATATAATAAATTTCATAAATGCGTCAGCTGGTGATCGTTATATTGATAATTGACTATAATTTTAAAAATATAAATAAAATTTTTTAATTTATTATACTGTATCTTATAAATATAGGTCTATTGCCTTATGATATTTTGTGCAATGCCAGGGATATAGATCTGAAAACCAATTAGGTTACTTTAAAAAATGCATGGATCATCATAAATTATAGGATTTAGTATGCAATATTTATCAGCATGCAATGGCGATGGAATTGGTTTGGCCATATGTTGCTTCAGTCTCTAATCCATCCGTTAATGGTTTTCTTGATTAGGCTAAAAATCAAAAAAATGAATTATTTAAGTTAAAATATGAAATGGTATTTAATAAATTTATAATTATAAATAATTGAATTTCAAATTATTAATATTTAAACTATATTTAGATTTTTTGATACTTACAAGCAATAATAAACTTTCGTACGGGTGTTAGATACAATCAGCATTTACTTAAATTAGCTGCACATAGAATGTTTTCTCCTATTTGGTCTGCAAGATGACATTCCATTTACCAAGCAATTGAAATAGCTGATGAGAAACAATTAATGTGCCTTTGTCCAGAGATTCATCAAATTATCGAACAAAATTCTGTTGTATCATGATCAGGATGGCCAAATCAGCACCAGGGGTTAGATGCGATACTTGAAGAAATAAATAAAACATTAAAAACACTAATTCCACCTATACCAACTCAAAAGCACTGAGATATGACTGCAAGAAATTGCACAAAATTTATGAAAGTAAGAGTATATATTATTGTTATTAATGTATACTTACTTTTTTTTTCTAATAATTTTTTTTTTGATAGCTGCGAAAAAAATTGTTTGCTATGATGGAATATTCAGATTCTGAAAGTTCAGGACCACAAACTCGTCCAGACTATGAAAAGAATCACAGAGGTTTCAAATTCAATTAAGAAAAACCAAATTTCTAAATCCAAATAAAGATAATCGTAGTTTTGAAAGTTTGGATAAGACTAATAAATTAAGTGTACAAATGAAGTCATTCAGTTATAAAGCTCGAATGCAACGTATAAGTTATATTAAAAGTAAATTTGATTTACCGATAATTAATTCATCAGAGCTTATATGGCCTATTCCTGTTACTTTTGATGAAGCACAATTACAATTAGCTGAAACTTCCTTGAAAAAGGAAGAGATAATATTCACAATCGAAACATTAATTGGATCCTTAAATGAAGCTAAACGGCCACAATTTAGAGGATTAAAATCAAAAAAAAAGGATGAGTTATTAACAATTTTGCAACAGCTTCGAGATCTTCATAATATGACTAATGCTGATGAAATCAAAGAGGAAGAGACAATATAATTAAATAATAGCCAAAATATATTCAGAAAATATAAATAAAAAGTTGAATGCTTTTATTAAAATATATAAATATAGATAAAACTATCTCTAATTACGGTTATAAAAAAAAATCCACTTATCTTGATAAAACGGTTTACATTCTTAGCTGATCTTGAAGTATTGTTTGCTGTTTAGCTCAAGTAATGCTAATTTAATAACATATAACATGATTTACGACTGTTTAATAATAAATTAGTTAAACTAATCCTAAATTTTTTTTTTTTTTTTTTTTTTTTTTTTTTTAAATGCCAAATCGTAACCTATATTTTATTAGCTTTTTGCATTACTATTACATATATGA